ATGCATCATTTTGGTGCTGAAGATAGATAATTTCAGACCTTGCACGGACCGATCTGTGTTAACTATTGTCTATTGGTATTTTTTCTTTTCATTTTCACATGCAATGTCTAGTTTAGTAAATTCTTTGTAAATGTGAAGCATTAACCAGTTTGGTCTGGTAGATGTAGATCAAGTGTCTTACTATTCATTAGATTACGTTAAATTTTGTATACTATCTTGTTGGATCTTGCTTGGGCCATGTCCAATGTTTTTGTTTGTTACCAATGTGTATATTCAATCAATAGATAACTATGTGGCATGTGTAATATTGTATGGGTTTCCAGCCTTGTATTTCCACAACTTTATTATTCATAGTTCGCCTTTGTGGGGAAGACATCTTGTCATGTCTTTGCGGCGGGTTTTTTTGTTAACCCCACATTGGCTTTTTATTATAATTAATGAAAAAATAATCTTTTGTTCATTTTATGGTTTATGTAACTGTAAGATATGTTTTTAATTTCATAAATAAATACAAAGTCACCCTCTCTGTAAGGTTGGCCTTTTCTCTTCATATTCATTGTTGTGTCGTTTCTTGTCGTAGTGTGCAGATACATATATACGTATACACAGTTAACCCAATTAACAAGGGAAGACAGATTTTGATTCGTGCCTGTCTTGTTTTCGCGTATCAACGTTGCTGGGTTTCTTTGGTATCACGAACTATCATTTATGTACTGCTTTATGAGTAGATTGTTAGAGATAATGTTTTGTAACGTGCAGTGTCTATGATATATTGTCCGGACTGTCGTGTCCACTAGGTGGCCATATTGTCGGTTTCTCTGATATTAATGGAACTTAAACTATCATCAGTTTATTGCCTATCTTAATAATAGAGCTGACGTTGATTACATGACCTTGTGTCGGGTTCAGTTTACATATAGTCCTTCTGTACCACCTCGTGTCTACTGTAGGTGGCTATCTTGTCTTATCTCATCATAACAATGATACATAACATAAATTGTTATCAAATAATCAATACATCATGTCAGGTATGAAGAAATTTGCTTGGTGAATCATCCCGTGAACAGTTAGGTTTATGTTGTTCCGGTGTTGTATGATAAAATGAAGCCCATGGTAGGGTGAACCGCCCCCCCCCACCTCCACATAACAAAAAAAAAAAAAAAATTAAAGTGAAGCCACTTTACACTTTGTTTTAAATAGATATTACTACGCTATTTTTATCGGTTCACTTAATAATGTTCCTCCATATACATCACAATATATAAATAAAATCCATAAGGGTGAGGAAATTTAAGGTGGGGCAAAGGGCTTCAGATGAATGAATGGGGTTCATTAAAAAACATTAATTAAAACAGATGTTAATTTTTCACTTTGCCATGTTCATGGTAATGCCCTGAATATCCTCAGCCTTGTTATTGTTTGCTTTTTTATGTATGGAGGAACATAATTAAGTAAAGCGATCAAAATTAAGTGAAGAAATATCAGTTGGGAAAAAAGCTAGTGGCTTCACTTTATCATGGGACAGGGTGTGTGTGTTTCATTTCACCATTATGGTCTTTTGACTCCGGTTCATTTCACCATTATGGTCTTTTGACCCCGGTTCATTTCACCATTATGGTCTTTTGACTCTGGTTCACTTTACCATTATGGTCTTTTGACTCCGGTACATTTCACCATTATGGTCTTTTGACCCCGGTTCATTTCACCATTATGGTATTTTGACCCCGGTTCATTTCACCATTATGGTCTTTTGACCCCGGTACATTTCACCATTATGGTCTTTTGACCCCGGTTCATTTCACCATTATGGTCTTTTGACCCCGGTTCATTTCACCATTATGGTCTTTTGACTCCGGTTCATTTCACCATTATGGTCTTTTGACTCCGGTTCATTTCACCATTATGGTCTTTTGACTCCGGTTATTTCACCATTCTTCACAAAACCACGCTACACCGGGTCTCCTTGTAGTAGCTGTTGACCAGCTCACTGAACAACATACGGGAGTCCGTCGCATGCCACAACAAAGAATAGGTCTGTTTCTCAGCCTCTTTGGAACACATCGGGTCTTTATCTCACTGACCAACTCTGTTGAACAATATTTCTTTTTCTGTTTGTTCATGTCTCTTCTCTGTGTCAAATAAAACATTTATAAAACCATGTTATTTCAATATAAACGTATAAACGATGTACTTTAAAATCCAAAAAGTTCATCAAAAATGTTAATTTTCGATATTGAATTATTAGAGATGGATCTTGGTTAAATTAATTGTAATTTTGATAATATTGATAAAACAATTGTTGGTTTTCTCTAGAGATGAATTCTGTTTAGCTGACGGGTTATGAGCCAACAGCCATAAACTTTCTTTAAATATATTTATCTCTAAATTAGTTCTCGTTGAAAAAGTAATCTTGTTTTTTATAGAGTTAGGAAAAAGTGAAATAGTTTTATTGATAACCTCTATTTCTAGTATCGGAAAACGAGAACATTATAGAGGTATCCCTTAGCTGTATTTACAAAAACTAACTAATACAGCAATTAACGCTCCCAACTATGATAGAGGTATGCTACTGAAGTTGTATAATATATATAATTGTAACGAGGATGATAACAAGATATCACTTATCATTACTTACAAAAATAACTATGATGAATTTATACTCCTGAATAATGTGATATATAATAGTATATCAATATAGTTATCTTTACTTAAAGTTTTTCACCGGTGAACAGGATGTCTAAGAATTCTGTTCACCAGAATTTATTGTAAGAATTAAATTTACGATGCTTAGATATGGGTCATCTGTTTTTGTATGCATTTCGTTATGATTGACAGATACATTATATGTTTTATAAAACCAGTGATATCTGTTTCACAAAACATAAATCAAATTGCTTTTAAAACGTTAAAACAAACATATCAAGTTTGCATACATGTCATATACAAGCCCATAAAACCAGTGTGTCTGTGGACATAAGTTTGCAGTCATTCAACCAATAATACCGCTTACTACAAAGTCTACGCTGTTTTTGTTTTTTTGTTTTTTTTTTACACAAGTCCTGATTGACATGCAAACATTATCAATTTTACAGAAATCACAGTTTTAATCTTAAATCTATTTTACTTGTTAATTTTATAGAATATGTCTGGGAATGTTAAGAACGATAAAGGCCTCACCAGTGCTTGTAATTCAGGACACTACCGGTCACGTCTCAACTTCATGTCCAAATGTAACTTATTAGAAGATAATCTATTTTTCAATAGTTATAATCTTAGTAATTTTGTCATTGCTTATGATCAGTAAGGAATAGTCATATGTAAGTAACACGAGACACAGAAACTTACTTTTGGTTTCGTTTTTAACAATGTTTGATGATTCATTGTATATCAGTTGAGAGCAGTTTGTGTCAGGTAGTTGTTGACTGTCTACATTAAAATGTTTTCTGGCACTCGACTGTTAGAAAGCCAGAGACAAATTTAGAAATACTTTCGTGCAGCGCTATTAACTCTGCCACAGAGAAAATGTTTTCGATTTTCACTCTGAGACAAAGTCTACTGTAAAATAATAAATTTTCTTGGGTTTCTTCTTTCGCTGTTTCTTTATATCGTGGACAGATATATCTCGGTAAATACTCTTTTATTTATTTTATCAATTCGTGCACACGTGATTGTATGAATTAAGAGTTCTGTAAAGCTCTTTTTTTACGGGACGATATTTCGAGGTCTTCCAAGTTTTTGGTCCATGATTACAGATGTCCTTACATTTTGATTGATGTTAGATATATATATATATATATAGATGTCCTGATTGATGATAAATATTTATTGGGTAATTTATTTCGCGGTATTTTTAATGACCTCAAATAGCGAAGTTAAATCCCCACTAGTATTATTAACTATACAGAAACTGCGAAAACAACAAAAATTGAAACCCATACGAAAATGAATGATTTCATAGTAAATACACAGATAGTGCCAGTTATAGCAAACTGTTACTGATGTTAAGTATTTTTTTGAAATTAAAAACGTGAATTAAATTGCATTCTTCTTGATTTATTGATTTATTAATCGAATGTTTGATTTCAACCAAGTTGTGATCGGCATAGAATAGGATTATAAGCACTGGATTTGTTTACTATGTCATTAATGGTCGTTATAAACATACATGCAGTGTTATGTCTGTCTATGAAGCTCTGTCATTTATAACGTTAAAATGCCATACCAATACAGTTCAGTGTATTGTAATATACACATTTTGCATGTGTATGTATTTGTTCGTTCGATCTTCTCATCAAAATTTTTTTCGATCACTTTGGATTTTTCTCAGTCGCCTCCTAGACTTCACAATTTAGGCCCTTAGCATCACTGACGAGTCCTAGGAGGACGAAACAGCTGTATGTTGTAGCATCACTGACGAGTCCTAGAAGGACGAAACACGTGTATGTTGTAGCATCACTGACGAGTCCTAGAAGGACGAAACAGCTGTATGTTGTAGCATCACTGACGAGTTCTAGAAGGACGAAACATCTGTATATTGTAGCATCACTGACGAGTCCTAGAAGGACGAAACAGCTGTATGTTGTAGCATCACTGACGAGTTCTAGAAGGACGAAACATCTGTATATTGTAGCATCACTGACGAGTCCTAGAAGGATAAAACAGCTGTATGATGTAGCATCACTGACTTGTACTAGAAAGACGGAACAGCTGTATGTTGTAGCATCACTGACGAGTTCTAGAAGGACGAAACATCTGTATATTGTAGCATCACTGACGAGTCCTAGAAGGATAAAACAGCTGTATGATGTAGCATCACTGACGAGTACTAGAAGGACGAAACAGATGTATGACGTAGCATCACTGACGAGTACTAGAAGGACGAAACAACTGTTTTATGCAATTTTATTCATTGTTTGACTCTACTTTATCTAACTCTAAATTTGTATATAAAGGTGCTGTTAACTTGTATACTTTTGTACCATCTTCATAGGTGCCGCATCATGACTGATCCGTGTGGTGCCCCGCCTCTCCCATGGCGTCCTGTCCACCAACAACCGTCAAATTCCTTTAACATTTATGAAGACGAGGAGGATGAAATATACACGTATTTGCCAGAGGAAGAGATTTTTCACAAATTCTTAAAGATAAATGAAAAGACAGAGGAGGATGGAACAGAGTCTGGGATTTATGCTTCAGAGGATTTCTGCAAATCACAATGTCAGTACAACCTTACGTCATGAAGATCGCTAGTGTTTGACAAATCCTATTGTCCCTTTGAAAAGGGGATTTTTTTCCCCTCCTTTTTCAAAATTGACATGACGAATTTTGTCAGTGAAGCAGAAAACGCTTACCGTTCCGGAACACCTAGTCTTATACTTGTACTTTGTCAGGAGCCAACTTGTAAATCTGTATTTTGTTAATATTTTGCCCTCGTTTAAGTTATCTTGAACTAGGATTCTGTTCACATGGTGGCATTGTATTGTTTTAAATGATATAAACATTTCTCACGTTTTACTTTATGTTTTTCAGCGGTTGACGATAAAGATCTAAACGAAATAATACGATGTATCAATACAGCAGATTCAGGAATTGCTTCAAAAATGATTACACACGTGCACATGCGCATCATCCCTACTGCTGTCTCACAGTCAGATCTGGAAACGTTAGCGTTACTGATGGACTGCGATCACAAAGCCATAGAAAGAAGAGTAGCGAGAGTGATGACAGAAGTGTTGTTTGAAACGGATATAAGAAGTCACAATTATGTCAAACTATTGTCATGTTTAAATGCACTGTTTTCTGTCCTTCAGAAACGTTCGATGTCACCTGAGTCGATGATAGGTATACAACCAATTGTGATTCTCGTCTTACTAGTCTTGTATCATCAGTCACTGAATCATCCAGACAGGACGAACATAGCAGACACGACAATAGAGAGGCTTCCGAACTATATAGACATAGTGGAGAAAATTAGCGCAATTGATTCAGAGCCGTACTTGTCGGGCCTTCGGCAGTCTGTACAGATGATATTAAAAAGTTTTCAAGAGGTTTTGATGAAAAAGAAAACGAGTCGCCTTCAGGTGGGTAATATCAATGAAGAACTACGCGATGACAGACACCGGGAACGTTTATCTAGAGACTTCGGGAAAATGTCTATGCTGGAACACTACTCGCTGATTTTCGGGGTCATAGTTCAGGTATTTATATATTGTCCACAGTTCTTCTTGTCTTTCTTGCTTTAGTTTCCTGTCGAACCTTTTGTTGCCTTGTGCTTCAAGTGTCATTTCTATTTTGACCATGAATGTAGAAAACTACTGTAAAATCGAACATTTTCGCGAGGTTCAAATTTCTTGGTTTTACACAAACATTTTCCTGAATAAATCTCAAGAAATTCAGTAGAATAATTCAATTTATTCTGATGATAATTTTGTGGTCTTAAGTGTCTTAAGATAAACTTTGAATTCGAAAACTATTTTGTTAAACAACTTTGATTTCATTTAAAAAGCAAACTATATCCTCCTTATAATTCATCGACTAGGATGTGAGATTTTAAAGCTATATTACAGAAATCAATATTCAAATGTCTTGGTCAATGTGAGATATCATTTATTTTTGTTTTTATTTCGTATCTCCGATTCATTTCTTTTCTCTTTCCAACAAGATGTATATTTTATATTTTTGAAAATCGTTTTTGACAGATAAGTACGTTCCCCGTCACTATGGAAGCGCTAGCCTTTGTACGCGAATGCCTAGCTTCTGTCCTAAATTACTACAACAAGAAGTCGAGGACAGAGAAACATGTTTATGCTCTTCTCCTCTTTACGACAAGGGCGATAATCAATACTCTGGAGAAACGACACTCCAAACGTATGAATACACATGTAAACACGGTATTATTTAACCAATGGTGTTTTTCTATGTTATATTGTAAGTCATTTAGATTTCACGAATAGAAATGACATTTAATTTGCTAATGATAGGTTATTAGATATATGGACTCTGATATCGGTAACCAATTCAGCATGGGTGTCATCAAGATCATTTCTGTACAAATACTCGCCTGGGATATGAATTCGCGTTTGACTCTCCTGGCGTATTCAGGCTAGAATAATAAGTCTCATGCGTCATGTAAGTGATTTATAGTAGTTGATAAAATTGTGGGGGACTTAATGTCAAATTCTATAAAACCGACCATCATCATATATTTGGTCGAAGGGTATCTTCATATTTGAAAAAAAAATCTTCTATACATTACTAACATAATTTCGGATAATATTAATCAGAAATTCAGCTATATTGTGCCTCCTCGATGCTCTAGAGGTTACACTCACTCTATGTAATTCTGGATCATTTCATGGCAGACTTGAAGATTCCTTTTGTGACATCATGCGGATAAAATGAGAATACTAGTACATCAAAGAAGTATTAAGGTCGCATAGTGGTATGTTGTAATGGCTTTGAAGTTGGGTGTCGCACCTTTATTGTCTTTAATCAGTTTGTGATTTGATAATTTTTTTCTTCTGAATCCTGCTCTAGACCAATTAAAACAGGTATCGTATCGGGAATAACAATTTATTGAATCAAATAATGGGGAAAGTCAAGAGAATAGTGACGTCATAATAACAGCATGATCAGACTCTATACGTCTCATAATTAAGTTCAGTTCTGCTGTAATCGGCGAGTAAATATTAGTATTGTAAAAATGTTTAAACACTAACGAAGAAATAGCATTTACCAGAAGGAGTTCCAGTAATGTTCATAAGGCCATTCACGATATTACTACACTTATGCCAGATTTAAAAAACTGATGAGCACCATTTAAAAATTAATTTGATTAAAAGAATTCGTTATTTAAAGTTTTTTTTTTCTTTACGACACACAACATATAAAATTATATTGAATTTAATTTCATCAAAAAAATCTAAACCATGAATGGTGAAGTGACTGGACTTATTCCTCGTTCTACTGCATTTTCCATTTATCAGCATGATAAACTAAAAATACATCAAAAATAACAGTGGAATCGCAGTTAACGTACTCTATTTATGAATTTATGACAATCAAATTCTAGCTCGTTATTGCTGTGATGAATTCGGTCAATTAAGGTTTTAAGGCTTTAGCATTATACTTTCCATGCCGAAAGATTAACCCTAATATATGTACATCTACGGTAGCCTACTTCTGCAAAAATAATTTAAATGTTTTCACAGTAATGCAATTTTTTGTTATTTCAGATTCGACAAGATGTTCTCCACAATTGTGTGAAATTCTCCAAATGATTACAACCAGCCCGAAGATAAAAAAAGAAGTCCGACGCATCTTACAAGAAGAGGTGTCCATTCTTCTATTCCACGAAAAAGGAACAGTTGTTCAGAAGGTGTCTGCAATGTTGGAGAAAAGAAGTTCAGTGGTGACCGAGGCACTATTTAGATACTTGACGAGAACTATGGAATCTTTGAGTTTTTCGTCTCATTCAAAAGCGTTTGAGAACAGCTATTTAAGTTGGCAAGGTATACATGGCACTATTGTAGGGCATATCCACGTCACAACAGAAATTTTTCTGCCTTCACTGGATTCTTTGATCAATGGATCATTTGATATAGACACCTACCGTCAAAGTGCGGCGAAAGTATCACAAACTGCCGAACACTACAACACCCTGAAAGTGTTGAGAAAACTATCAGCTCGTGAACCAAACAATCATATCAAACGTCTGTTTGCATTTCAAACAGAACCAATACCATTGTTTTACATGACAGAAACACTACCCGAGACTACTCTTAGTTCTCACCTTATTTCACACAGAAAAGACAGAAATTGGATCTCAGACAAAACACTTGGACTGATGAGTTTAGGGGCTGTGAAAGCATTACGATTTCTCCACGACGTTGGCATGATTCATCGAAACATCATAGCCGACAGTTTCAGATGTCGCGGTCAAACTGTAGTTCTATCTGATTTCAAGATTGTTAAGAATATTTCGATGGAATCCGAAGGATCGGAGCAACATGCAATACAAGGTATTCCATATTATTTATTATCATTGAAAATCTAGGCAGATATCTTGGATTCAATTTTGTTAATCGTTCTTCAGCAAAAGAAACCCTGTTTCCCCTTCAGATTTAATTATGTTAAAGCTCAGTAGGTTCTTGACTGTATCCTTGGGCAAGGCGTTTGCTTTTTCTGGTTTTGCGTGTTGTGTAATTATCAATTAGGTATTCAGTTCGTAGATAAGTTTTAATGAAATTTGCATATTTGTCTATTGATACCACTGTCTGGCATACGTATCCTCAGGCGAAGTTCCAAGTCTTTACCTTTGTGGTTCGCGTTTCTTGCCAAGTTCAGAATACTAGTGTGTACTGTCTTTGTTGTGTCCTTGGTGCCTCATGATAAGTCGACTCTTACTATCGTATGCTACATTGACCATAACGCTGTATTGACCAATCATATCGTATAAGTCCTCACAACAAGAAGAGTAACAAATCAATTGTCATTATAACACCACACATGATATCAAAACAGACCCATATTCCTGTCCGCTTGTAGAGCTTTGAACAATCTGAGGTGGAAGTTTTTGTCCATTGATGTTTGTTGCAAACTAAAAAATAAGATAAGATTGTTTACTTCCCGGGTTTATCGGCAACAGTTGATGGTAACCTACCTGAAATTAATGCGGGATATCCGTTACTAGCTATTCAGAATCATTAAGATGAAGCGCCATATTAAATAATATGACCTGGATTGCACGGGATGGTGGGTGAGTTGAGCATCAGTGAAAAGACAAACTGACATGGAAGAGAAAATGACTGCATGCCGGTAAAAACGAAATTCTGCTTGATCGACGTGGCCGGATTACTATTGATTTCAGTATCTATCTTGGTTTCAGTGATGGCCGAAATTCCCATCCGTTGGTCTCCATATGAATCTCTGTGCGAGGACGAGTTCAGTCGTGCCTCAGATGTGTGGATGTTTGGACAGTTGTTGTTTGAGATTTTTACTCACGGATGTCATCCGTACACTGACATTTACGGGTACGACTTGGAGGACGTCATGGATATGGTAAGTACTGCTTACAAGTTTCACACAGATATCAATATCAGTTTGATATGTTCAATTACTGCTTCAGAAAATTCATAAGCGTAAATGCAAATAAGTGGAAAATAAGATAAAATGAAATAATATGGATATGAATAATATTTCAAAGAGGAATAGAATAAAAATATATAAAATAAGTCAATGTTGAGGTTAGACTGATGGTTCTTTCATGATGCCATGGTTTTCAGATTTGTTAAGTAAGATAGACTAATAATTGTTAAGGGGAAATTGTTTCCCATTATGGTGAAATTTCCCTTGTTTTCTCGATTGGAAATTTCTTTATATTCAAAGGAAAATATGCCACTAGTGGAATACTACCCATTCCCGGTAGTGTAATTAATTGTTGCTGATAAAAGCTCAGCTGAATTAATATTTAAATATTGCAACATGCGACGTAAGATAAATATTTATCTCCAGAAGATGTAGAATTGTCGACTCACACGTGCAACGTTTTCTATTAAGGTTTTGTTCCATGGTCTCAAACCGAAGTGGTGGCAATGCACCCCACGTGCAGTACAAACAATCATTGATAAATGTGTACAAGCGTCACCACATGAGAGGATAAGTCTTCGAGATGCGGAGGATGCTATAGCAAAATGGCTCGAAACAACGAAAAGCAACGGTGAATATAACATGTTTCTTTTCATTTTGCAGTGTGTTTTGGTTGCCATGGTAATAAGGTGACTTCATATAAGTTTTTTGTATATTGACCCATCTGTCAAATTGTTTCCAGAACCCGTTACATTGGAAAAAAATGGTGGCTTCTCACTGGGTGAAATTGAGATATTTTACAACTACGTGTATGTTGAAAATTGATGTATATGAGGTTTGGAAAATAAAAGATGTTTTTAACAATGGAACTATTTATAAAATAATTATAGTTTTTTTAGCAGAAATTTGGGTTGCCATGGTAACCAAGTCAATATTAAATGTTTTCAGTTTTGTATTTATCAATAGGTATTCAGTTCTTCGATCAATTTTAATGAAACTTGCATATGAAAGTTATTTTCCAAAAGTTACAAAAGCGCGCACTAAAGCTCGCGTATTTTTGTTACTTGAAAAATAACTGACTTGAAACGAAATAAATATTAGATACCAAATCACTCATTGTGTAAACCCTATGTTTCTTCAATATCAATCTTGATGTTATCTTATTTGTCTATTGGCACCACTATCTGGCTTACGTATCCTCAGGCGATGTTCCAAGTCCCTTGGTAAGGGACCTCATGGTAATTCGACTCTTACTATCGTATGCTACATTGACCATAACGCTATATTGACAAATCATATGGTATAAGTCCTCACAACAAGAAGAGTCAGATGAAGCGTGATTTGCGAAAGGAAGACCCCAGAATAGAAAATGAAGTAGCATAGGTAGAACGGCCAAGAAATACCACAAAGTTCTAGTAAGATATTGCAGGATTAGGACACATCGGTGGGGAGAAACTTTTTGCATTGGCAAAGGAAAATTAAGTCTGTTTCTAGAATTTATTTGTGGTAATAATATTGAATCTAATAATCATGTAAATGTAATGTTGCCCTTTAAACATAATTTGATATGCCACAAGTTTTATATTCTATGCAATGGGTTTGGGTAGATATGTTTCTCCTTCAATATTGTTGAGTAAGCTTTGAAAAAGCTGAAAATATGCGAAAAAACGGTATTTTGTAATGAAATTTATCTAATAATTGCATGATTGTGAAAGTGTTATACACATTATATAACGGCATTCTTATTTTTTCACAAAAATATGTCGGTAACATTTGCAGCAAGTCACAGTGGAAACATCACATTCTCCAACAGAGGAAACCTTTACCCTGAGCTTAACCAGTTACAACAGGATAAGCCGGAAAGGGTACGTCAGATCATTACCTGACCTACATATTTGATGGAGTTTACAAGTTCATTATATTAGGATGTTGGTGATAGTAAATACCAACCCAATTAAGTGTCTGGAATAAGCATAATTGATGCACATTGTAACATTTGAAACAAATAAAAAATCTTTCGATATACAAGGTAGCTAAATTAATATAGCACATTAACAATGATATGTACCGTAGGGAGGATTTAAGAAATATTCGGCAAATCAGTTGCACAGTATTAAGTTACACAGCTAAGGAATTTAGTTACTGAAGAAAGAAATTGAGTAACTCAAGAAAGGAACTAATTTACACAACATAGGGGTTTGGTTACACAGTAAAGGAATTTAGTTACTGAAGAAAGAAATTTAGGTACTGAAGAAAGGAATTTAGTAACTCAAGCAAGGAACTTTGTTACACAACAAAGGTATTTAGTAACGCAGTGAAGAGATTTAGTTACTGAAGAAAGAAATTTAAGAAAGGAAAGGAGGAACTTTGTTACACAACAAAGGTATTTAGTAACGCAGTGAAGAGATTTAGTTACTGAAGAAAGGAGTTGAGAAACTCAAGAAAGGAACTTAGTTACACAACATAGGGATTTAGTAACACAGGAAAGAAATTTAGTTATTGAAGACAGGGATTTAGTTACAGAACCTACAAAGGGTCCGAATTTCCACCTGAAATGAATAGTAAGGTATATATATATAATATATATATGCTTTCCTGCTTAATCAGAATTGTATGGTTTTTATCCTTTTGTTACTATTTTAGGGGATATCGGTGAAGCTGAAACAGCTGAAAAGCTTAGATGGCAGTAAGTGAAATTTGACTTTGAGATAAATATAAGTAAATGCTTATTACTCGTTAAAATATTAAAGTTAATGAATGATGAATTCACAATATACTTGCGCAACATTCAGATGTTTGCTAATAAATTGTGTACCTGCTGGATTATACCCCCGTAAAGAAGTTCGGGGATGGGGGTGGAGGGTTGGGTTTGGGTGGAGAAAGTATATTGAAATCATCCTGTCTGACCGTCTGACCGTCCGGAATATTATGTCAAGTACATTTAATAAAGTAATAAATCAATAATCCTCAAAATCGGCATGATACATCAGTTGTGCCAGTTGTGATCAAATGCTACAGCTGATTATAACCTATAAGTTGACAGATTTGATGTTCTATACAGTTACCATGGAAACAGGCTTCTGATTGGCTGAAATTGAGATATTATCTGAATATGTTAACAAAATTGGTATAGAGAGGTTAAGGATGGGGTAGGGGGTGAGAAATACAAAGATACCATTTTCTGAAAAAAATGTTCTCATTTGGTTGCCATGATGAAGAATGAAGACCTCATGGAGGAATCTTGTTGGGACAACCCCCCAAAACACTTTTGATATGCTCTTTGGTATAACTCGTGGTTCTATCCTGTTATTTACCTTTTCTCACTTGATAGCATGACAATTTTTACTTTGGTTGATAATTATTAACATGGCGGATGTCTTCGATGAAGCAGAAGAATGTTTCCTTTCCGTAACACATGGTTTTGTTCTCCTCGTACATTTTAAGGAGTCGCTGTGAAAATATTTTTTGTTCATATTTTGCCCACGTTTGATTGAATTAAGATTTTGTTGTCCTATCAGTATTTTGGTTGTTGCTATTACAGACGTCAAAGATTTGTATTATAACACATTAAGGAAGAGAAAGGTTCAAACGAACACTCTCCGGATTACAGAGCAGGATCTCACTGCTCCTGACCATCCACAGATACGGCTACAGGTAATATCATATATACGAAACTATCATTGCTAGTTACTTATAGAATCAAAGGTTAATTTCGCTTTAGGTCTTTAAAAAATATCAAAAGTCACACAAGAGAATGGCACCTTTTATTACACATTTGAAATAATTATAAAGTTAAATAAAACAATGTACGATTAGATTAATTGAATAAAATTTAAAGCAAAATAAGAAAGATGAATTGAATTTTAAAAAATCGGTAATTGTTTTTCTAATCCATGATAAAAGAAACAAATACGATAACGGTTTTTCTATGGAACGTCAAAGATTTACAAAAGACAAAAGTAAATAGCACCTTTTAATACAACTTTTGAGTTAGATAAAGTAGAGCCAAAGAATGATTTGAATTGCACCATACTGTTGTTTGGTCCTTCTAGGACTCGTCCGTGATGTTAAGGACTAAATTTTCAAGCATACGAGGTGATTGAGAAAACCTCAAAGTGATCGAAAGAAAAGTAAAAATCTAGATCGAGAGGTGCACTTTCCCAATAATTGATATATTTCATAACTTTTATACATCTGATAATTTAAAAACCAGCGTAAAATATATGAACTCAAACTTGGCATGTTCTTTATTATGATGTTAAAGATATAGGTGATTTGTTTCAACGATAATTTCTCTTGATGATTTCAATTTAACGTCTTTTTCTACTTACAGGGAACTTCCCTACATGTAGAAGAACCAGTTACACAGAGGTTTATAAATGGACCACTAGACCAAATGAAATCTGAGTATGACTTCGCTATAGAACAGCACATAATCAACTTCCCTCCACAGAAAAGATCACGAGAATGTACAGTAGAGAATGGTTTCACACATACGCTGGTAACCACCCTTCATTAATATTTAAAAAAAAAATACATAAAAATAAAAAATATGAAACAAAAAGAAATGTTTCATTGACGACATTATCATAAATGTTAACTCATTAAAACTTTTTGCGTTTAAAAATATAAGCCTGAACTCGGATATGTATGATTTAATGGAACCTAGTCTAGCCTGTCCATTTTGTTTGTATGTTCCTGTCACAGGCTCTATCTCGCTCTGTCTTTCTCTTACCCTCTCTCTTAAAAACAAAACAAGCATAGGATTATAAAAGAATTATTCACATTATTATTGAGTAAATATTAAGTTATATTTTACACATTTTAACTAATGACATGAAATGTAACACAATTATCTAAACATCACGTGTACATCACGTGTGTAATCCCAATATACTTACAGCTTTACCGATGTACCCAAGGGAAATGCTTACTGGATATCGCTGCTGAAAATTTGCTGGGTGACCCAGCAGACCCAGCAAACGAGGTAGCGTACGCCAACCTAATAAAGGAGGGCGTCAGATTTGTGTCTGTCATGCACGCAAAGAAATGGGTCCTCAGAGACATATGTTGTTCCACTTTGTATAGATCTAAAGGAGAAGGCAAGGTATGGAAGTCTCCCATAATTAGAATTTCATATTTCTCTGTTCAATTTATATTGTCTATGCTATATATAATGCAAAATTCACAATGAAAGGCGATATCCACTTGTGTCATTTGTACCATTTTGTCGGAATTCCAACCAGAATTCGAATATAGAAAAGACCCAAACTTTTCGATTCTTTTAAAACAATAATTTGTCTTATTACATTTTATCATCAAATAAAAATCAATCCATGACCAATTGACAAGATATTGACATAAATCAAATTGTGTTTTTCCCCATAGATATTCATGCCACGGATAGGACGATTTCTGAAATGTCAGAACACCCTTGGTTGTGTCACAGACACGTTAACAAACACCGATGATCGAAGAAACTGGTGAGTTTTTTTTTTATTTCATCAATATGAAAGTGTTTAGACGGTTGATAAATGTGTTTCTATCCCATTGAAACCAACTTTATTAAAAAGTGAAAATACATCTTTGCCTTTACTATTTTACGTTGTAATGTTTTGCATTACTCAATGTTTATAGATTTTGTGTATGATGCAGTTTAATTAATTGTTTGGTTCTACTATATCTAATTCTACATTTGTATTAAAACGTAATTTTCACTTTGTACCATCAGCGACATAATGTCGACGTATCACAATTGCTGTAAACAAAATCAAATATTTCAATTTCAAGTTGGACTCAGTGAAACTACAAAATTTAGCCTGGTTTATTTGACCAGATTAGGGTTGAACTTGGTGTAGTTATTAATTTTTTACACATTTTGTAAGGGGAAGAACCCGGACACATGTTTGATGCTAAACTTTAAATAAAAGCAATCAGATTTACTGCAAAATATAAAAGATAAAGATAAAGGATATTTTAGTAATTATTGCTGATTTGTATGTTCTAATGTGTTGCATTATCGTATTGTGCCTGAACATCACTGTTTGAAATATCGGACAATATTTCTAACGTAATCAATTAGATTTGCACAATTTCTAGCGACTGCAGACTTGGCTTTGTTCAATATATTGAATAGAAGTCGTCTGCACTGAAATTGAATATTGCTTTTGTTGATTTCAATGGGTTATATATTGAGTTGCACTTGAGACAAACGCTTGGTTAGTGGACAAATTTACCCAGAATATCCAGTTTAGTCATATTTTTGCTATTGGAGAGCATTTCAGAATTTATCATTGAATCTCCGAGCGAAAATATAGGAGTATAGACAATTAAACCCAAGCTCCCCTACCCACCCTCCACCCCACAACAAAAACTCCAAACTCACAACAGTAATGTCAGTAATCAACATTTAATATTGTTTACGATCAGTTATTGTCTTTATGCAACTACTTACAAGTCGTTGTTTAAAATCAAAACATCAGTAGTTAAACAAGTCTTCCTATAATGTAAGAAGTTAAAATAATAACTAAATAAATGTAAGAAATATGACAAATTTAAATATTAATTAAATTTTGATGTTACAGGATGCCGATAGAGGTTCTACAACATAAGACATATTCCATGGCAAGCGATGTGTACATGTTAGCTATGACTATCTACGAGTTCTACGAAACCGCCTCCATAAGAAAGAGCAACCCATTAGCCAATCATCTAGAGGCTGTGCCATTTGCAACGTTAGCTCCGGAAAAGGTAATGATATCAATAATTCTTTTCAATAAAAGCCAAGATCAATTCTCTCTATAAATCGCCAGTTCCAGCCATTCTTCAAGATTCACCATCGCGTACTCAAACAGTATAGTCATACATTTGATTTGCAGGTCCAGCTGTTCCGGAAGTGTAAGCGTAGTCGTACGACAAAAAAAAAAAAAAAAAAAAACTTCATGACACCAGTATGTTACATCCGGTTATACCGTAGATAGACCTTAATGAAGCATTTTTTTTAAGAATCTAAATCATAGCAAAAGATAATTAACTTGTTCGATCGATCAAGTTCCATACCTGAGCACGAGAGTTTATTTGTGTGGTCCTTTATATACAAATATAAATGTTGTGAGGAATACAGGTGCAGTTTTAAGTTGATATACGCAAAGTTGGTCAGAAGTCTTGAATAATGTGGTAAAATAGCTCAACTACCAAAAAATGTGAGTGATAATAGATGTATCGAAACCTTTTAAGAGGACGTTTAAACTTTTAACATTTCTATCCTTTTTGCTTCTAACATCACTAAAAATTCCAAAAGGTTTATAATGTCTATTAGATATTTCATAACTAAATGTAATACAGTAAAACCCCGTTATATCGAACTCCTTCGGCCCATGTCGGTAGTGAGAGGAATACGAGGTATACGAGTTACCAGAGGTCGATCCTTGATCGTCGGGTTCTGACCATTCTTGTCCGTGAATTACCTATTAATGCTAAGGAAATGCTACCATGTTTTATTTGTATTATGAATACAGATATGCAAAAAGCACTCAGCTATGATTACAACTTTTTTTAATCCATCAAATAACGCAGTATTACATTTAAATTTTTTCATCATATATTTGTCTACGACATATCTAAATTTGAATAATCGATTTGTTCAGTTTCATTGAATAACAATATCAACCTCAAATAAAGCATTTTAATTTATCATTATTATTTTTGATTGACTTGCAACTTCAATTTTAGTGGAGAGAAAAACATAGAATAGTAGCATGTCAGAAAGCTTTCTACAAGTGAATAGCGCCATTTTTTCATGAATTAGAGTGAGATACAGTAGAACGAAACGATGAGTTCAACTGCATCATACAGCTGTTTCGTCCTTCTAGGACTCGTCAATGATGCTACGATCTAATAATTGAACTGCACCATACAGCTGGTTCCTCACAGGACTCGTCAATGATGCTAAGGGTCTAAAGTTTAAAGCCTTGTATGTGCCTAAGGAAAACCCGAGTGATCACCAGAAAAGTCCAAATCTAGACGGAGGAGTGCGGCAGCCCCATAGTTAGACAAATTTCATTTGATACATTTTGTTAAATTTAGAATAGCGTCAAGTAAAGGATGGTGTATTTCTTTGATTTCGTACAGTCCTTCAATGTAATTGGTGAATCTGCTGAAGGAACTGGACACTTCTTTTGTTATAATAATGCCATCATCTGGTATTGGTTTGCACTATTTGTAGCTCCTAGATAGCTTGTACAAAGATGAAATACCCAGACAACCTCTAGTATGCCCTGAGTGGATGTACAACTTACTGAAAATGTGCTGGAATAGAGACCCTACGAGGAGACTTAGTGCTCACACACTTCTGGAGGATATAGAATCCATGTAAGTTTAGGATATTAATTCTTATATAAAGATTGTAATATATTTTCTTTGAATCCTATAAACTTTTCCTGCCCATAATTTTGGCATCATAAGATTTTTTGTATGAAGAACGATTGTATCCTGTTACAAACCATTTCACAGAAGACTTTTGATTTTGTTCTTGAGTAGACGATATTTTCAAACTTTGTATCAATATTTATCGACAGATCAAATTAAGCCATAAACTAGGTTTCGTCTATGTAAAATGCATTCGATGTCATAGTATTTAAAACCCAATTAATGCTCTAGATTTGTTACTACTATAACTGGTTGTGAAAGTTTGGACAAAGTTTTGTTTAAACAGATAGACGAGAAAGCAATAACACTTTGTTTATATGGATTCTTGTGATGTTTTGGAATCTAATATAAACGCGAGAGGTCCATATCATTAATAGGCAATCTAAAAGGTTATAATACTGAATGCTGGTTAGCCAGTATTTCGTCTTTGGAAAAAATGATGTAATGTGAAGTTGGAGCTTCCTTTACTATCAAGCAAGCATAGTTCTTTTTGTATGCAGGGAATATAATAATGTTTGCAGACAATGATAAATCTATCGGGCGCCTTATTTGCATACAAAATAACATATATATCATGTACTAACAGGTTCTGTTATTTTCTTCCTATATCGTCCCTAACAATTTAGGTCCTTAGTGTCACTGGCGGGTCATCGATGAATGATACAGCTTGGTTCTGCAGTATATAACTCTAAATTCGTGTTGCAAGGCGCTAAGCACTTATGAGTCGATTTTATACTATCATTTAAAGACTATTGCGGATTTCTTATGATATTTGTGATATATCCGATGTTTCAAGCTTAAATGAATACTTACGCAAGTTTCAATTTTCTTCATAGGATACTTGAACTTTCGGATGACGTTTCTGTAATTTCCTGTGGTAACACTTCATTTGGAACAAACAGTGCCCGAAGCACGTATATAACGATAGCCCAAGTACCAATACCAGAACTCCCACCAGAGCCGCAGCAGACATACGGCTTGGTAGATCAAATACCACCCGAAGAAGAAACACCGACAAGAACACTAGTTCAAGCAAGTGAAAGCACAGATGGATATTTGCAGGCCGTGTACAGTGATTCAACGAACACTGAAAGAGACTTCTCAGCTCCACACAAAGAAACCACACTGAGGCACGGCCCTTCAGGGGCAAACGATTGTGAACGAGCATTAAATGACAATATTCCCAAGGAATTACAGTATGTAGATGAATCCGGCACCTTACAGCTTGATATAGTTCCACATCAAAGACTGCTTGCTCTGACACAATTTCGAAAAGATTGCCGGAACCACAGTTCAGAAATACCTTCTGCGGAATATAGCGACACAACAAACAGTGATATCACTCAAACCCACGGTGAACATAACGAGACGGAAAAACAGGAAATTTGGGTTTAAACATACATCCCTTTCGAGTAGCAATATATCGAATACTCCTCCTACGGAGGTATCCAGCAGTTTGTACGTATCTCCTCCCCAAATGCTCCACCATACAATTGGTAGCTATTGTTCTCATAATTGACTTTGTTTAAGCCTCTCTTGACTTATTACAAAGATTAATTTCCTGTTTAGATTAAGTTGAGTATTGATAGAGATATTGTAAATGAATATAAATTTTCTTATCAATAAGAGATTACAACCATTAAAATTTATCAAATCGTTGTATTTTTAACTTCAATTGGGGCGCTTTCTTCAGTTTTGTCACATCAATATCATCACGTCAAAACATTTTTACTTTCAAAATTAAGTATGAAAAGAAATATCGTTTAGTTTCCTGCAGTTTCTTTTTCCAAAGAAAGCGTGGCAAGCATAGTTAATGATGTTACTGTGTTTACAACATTTAACACAAGTTAGTAGGAAACTGATCTATTTTCCAATCGATGTTTCATTCATACTATCTCTCTGCTGGAAACAAGATAAAAAATATTGCCTGAATGCTAAACGCTAAAAATTCGGTTTGTTATATATAGAGAAGATCGGCATTCAGGAAATATTTCGTATAATCTACAACAATGTCATACCTATGAATAAAGTATGAAAATTCCGTTCATATACACCTAGCTATCTCATTCACGGTCCGGCAAACTATCGCTGTCCGAAACCGTTTCTAATCTTAGACTCCAACTTCGGAAATTATTCATCCTGACCACTTTCTTGTCCGTCGCCGTTTTCAGTCTTTCCGTCCGCGTCTGGTGTACAAAACCATATCCATATAACACATGGAAGGGAAATCCGTTATACTTACCACATTCATGTCCGTTGTCGTTCTTTCCTTTTGTATCGGACATCGAAAAACTGATTGCGAAGTAATTTATCATCCCTTTGCCATCCCTGTCCGCCGCTTCTCTAGAGCGTCCGTCTGTGTTCGGACGTGGTTATCATAATTGTAATTATAAATGCACGAAAATTTCTTTTATACACTTGTCTTAAGTGATGATTCTTTATTTTATTTTGTTTTATCCACGTGCGGACATACATATCCAAATTAACTCATGTTGCGGAGAAAGGTTATCATCACCAAATCCCTGACTGTAGTCTTTTTCCTGTGCGCGTGCAGACGCACATATTCAAATTAACGCATGACACTGACGTTGGTTATACTTACCACATCCCTATCCTCGACGTTCTGTTCTCGGTTGGCGTTCGGACATGACCATGCCGTATCTATTCCCGTTCGTGTGTGGACGCGTATGAATACATTCAAATTAAATCATATCACAGAAGTTAGTTATGTTTTGTTTTATTTTTCAATCCGGGTTCCGACCTACACACAAAATGAGATTATGCGCTTCCGTCGTTTATATTGTTGTCACATCATTTGTACGCATTCTTACGTCCCATTTACTCTTAATTCATATTTCATTATATCCGTAGACTTTCCGTCCGCCAGTCCGCACTGTTCATTCATATTAACTCATAGGCCGTTAACTTGCCCGTCGATGTCATTCTGATTGGCCGGATATATATATACTTTTTTCACTTTTACATTTTTCTCGTCCTCAGTCGTTATCGTCCTTCTGATCAAGATTGCACGTTTTCCGCCCACGTAATGTACATACCCATATAGACCGTAGCGCGAATTTCGGTAATGCTTTCTATATGTTTGTTAGTCATTTTTCATTGTCACATCATTTGTACATTTCTTAACCTTTGATATATTTTAATCATGTTTCATTCCTTCCCACAGTCAAGTTCGTCCGTCAGTCCAAACTTGTACTGTATAAATTCATATCTACTTATTGAGCGGTTAATATTCACACTAAGCGTATACTTGTCCGTTGTCATTTTTCCTTGTCGTATCAACTGTACATATTCTCATGCTCGGTTTTTTTCTTTCGTCTTCCGGTCCGTGTTCGTACACGTGCGTACAAATTATATTTATACATGATGCGGAAAACGTCCGTCTTACCACTTTACTGTCATATGTACTGTCATATCCACTTGCTTGTTTTATGCCCAGGTTTCATCGTTATCCTATTCGAATACATGTACCTGTATATATAGTTAATCAAGTATAAGTTTATTGCATACGTGTTTGCCCCCATGTTACTGCTAGTTACTGTTAGAAATTTCCCAGTGTCTATTTATCACCCGTTCATACTCCGATGGTGCCATAGTATCTGTTTTTTCTCTCGCAGTTCTGTAAATATGTCAATTATTTTTATACTGTTTTGTACCTATTGTATTCTATTTTCGTTCATTTCTTTATCCCCTTTCAGCCCCACATACTAGTTATCCTGGTTTCCGGCAGTCTTACACCTACTTATACATGTAATAGTGTTTTCCGTTAGCTGTCTCATCGTTTCTTATTTTTTCTATCCTCCATGACAGGGTGCTCTTTATCTTCTTGGAGATGCGCTATCGGAATTCACTACCCTAAACACACCTGCTTAATCATTGCACATAGATTTCGCAATAAGAAATATTCCTACTGTGATATATTTAAGTTACAGTTTATACACGTGCCTCTATTATTTACCTCTCTAATTTTTCTACAAGCATACAACAATCCAAACAACATTACATTAGTTTTTATTTTGTTTTTACTTCTGTCGGGAGACATACTCACAAATCCGGGGCCAACAAACAGTTTCTCTTCTTCCCACGACTCTGATAATACATCTTTTTCATTTTCTGACGATGACTCTTTAAAAATAATACATTTAAACATTCGTAGTGTTAGAAACAAACAAGATTTTCTTGAGAGTTTCACTGATGATATAGATATCTTGTGTCTAACAGAAACGTGTCCCGATTCTTTCATTCCTGATTCTGACCTTCTTACAAACTTCCAATTATATTTAGAAAAGACTGGAATGCTTTTGGTGGTGGTGTTATGATCTTTTCAACCAATGACATACTTCCAAAACGCTTGATATTGAATCATGAAACGACGAAATTAATTTGGATTGAATTTTGTTCTGATAATAAGAAATATCTTTTATGTGTATTATATAAGCCTCCACGGCAAAACTCTAACTCTGGAATTTGGACACGGCTGAAACATTCTCTTGATATAGCCTTGGATTATACACCTCCTGTTATACTGACAGGGGATACTAACATTAACTTACTTACTGGAAATAACAATGATCTCACCTTCCTTAAACAACAATACAATCCAACTAACCTGGTAACACGTCCGACTAGAGTAACAAACACTACACAATCTCTTATCGATCCATTTTATATTAGTGATACTATATCCTCCGATTCATCCATCGTTGTACTTGTTCGGGAAATTATAAGTGATCACAGAGCTATCATTGTGTCTCTATTGTCCTATCAACCAAAACCGAAATCTTTTTTTAAAATATGGTTATACAGTAGAGCAGATAATTCAACCCTTAAAACTGAAGTTAGACAAGTAAACTGGGTAAATTTCTGTCACTGATGATGTGAGCGAGAAATGTGTTTTATTCACTGAAAAACTTACTTCCATTTTACAGAAACATATACCTAAAAACTGTAAATAAAAATGACAAATCATGGATGAACGGAGATATAGGAAAAGAAATTAAGCGGAGAAATAGATAAAGGAAGTATTTTATCAGAGTTAAAACCGCACATTCAGAAGCTTAATACAAACGTGCAAGAAACAAAGTAAATAATATGCTTAGATATGCTAAAACACATTTTTATGATAATGTTGGTGGTCTCATCCGTAACAGTTCAGCTAATCCGAAAGTATACTGGAAACTAATGCGCATTCATTTAAAAGGTAACACTTCTACCTTCATACCTCCCTTACTAAATCCTTCTAACAAACACTTAACTGCTGATGACTATATAAAATCCAATATCTTAAATAACTTCTTTAAATCCATCTCTGACCTTGATGAACACGATGACGTCACACCCTACTTTAACTTTACAACTGTCTCCTCTATTACTGATATTGAAATAACAGCACAAGAGGTTTTAGACACTATTAATATTCTAGACATTAACAAAGCTGTTCCCGATGGCATAAGTCATAAGATGTTAAAAATGATGTCTAGTGAAATAGCTACACCACTCACCTTTCTATTCATCAAATTGTTTCATACTTCTGTTTTTCCTGATTCGTGGAAATTTGCTTACGTGACACCTATATTCAAAAAGGGGGAACCTGAATTGGCAAGTAACTACAGATCTATTTCTTTACTTAGCTGCATCGGCAAACTTTTTGAACGAATAATCCATTAACATCTTTATAACTACCTTTTCACTAATAATCTTCTATACAAATTACAACCCGGCTTCTTGCCAAATCACTCTACGACTCACCAACTTATTGAACTCTACCATAATATACATTTAGCACTAGAGAATCGCGAATCTACAGCTCTTGTTTTTCTCTTTCTTGTATACATTAACGATATTTCAAACACTCTTTTATCTATTACTAGACTTTTCGCTGACGATACCGCATTAGCATACTCTTCTAAACATTTACACGATCTAAAACAGGTAATAAACTACGACATGGAACAGCTGAATCTTTGGTCTCAAAAATGGTTAATGAGCTTCAATCCAACTAAAACTTAAATACTCCTGATTTCCAACACAAATGTACCTACTAACCCACAATTTCTCTTTGACAACACACCCATTCCTTTCGTTAACAAATACAAACACTTAATAGTAGTTATAAACAGCAATGGTACTTGGAACTCTTACATTGATGACATTTTGAAAAAAACTGCTAAATACATCGCAACACTTAGGAAATTTAAGTACATCCTGAACAGAAAAAACTTTTCTTGTTTTCATCAGACCACTTTTTGAATACGCCTGCGAAGTTTGGGATAATTGCAATACCACTCTTTCAAATAAATTAGAAAATATTCAGTATGAAGCAGGTCGCATAATTACAGGATTACCAGTAGTTACTAAAAAGAATTTATTTACAGGGAGCTAGGCTGGCAATCATTGGCGGACAGACGTAAAAATAGGAAGTTATCTATGTTTTATAATATTTATCACAATAATGCTCCTTCATATCTAAAATCTCTACTACCACCTACTGTGTCAAATTCTACAAATTACAATCTTAGAAACAGAAATAACTTTCAAAATCCATCCTATATGATACAACTTACAAATTCATCCTTTATACCAAGCACTTCAGACTCCTGGAATACTCTACCTATCGAAACTAAGTCATCTGATTCTATCAAATAATTCAAAACTCTTCTACCTCATCTTACTATCCCTACAAATATTAAATCATTTCTTGAGTACGGGCCTAGAAAAGTAAATATAATACATTGCCAACTCCGCAACCGCAGCAGCTCTCTTAATTATGATCTTTACAAAGCACGTCTTCGACCCAATTCTTCTTGCAGTTGTGGACATCATTCTGAAGACTCTAGTCATTACTTGCTTTTCTTAACAACTTTGATCAATTACGTAATATAATGCTTCAGTCGCTTTACTGGTACAAATAATTGTGGAACACCTTCTGTTTGGGGACGGAAATCTCGATACTGATAGAAATATTGTCATCTGTAGGTTTGTACAATAATTTATTTCTAGTTCTAAACGTTTTAACATTTAATCATCGATAACCAGGACACCTAGTATGTCTATACTATCCCTTCCCCTTCCATTCATCCAGTTTCATCCTCCCAACACCGACGGGTATTGTTTTATTTATTTAATTATAATGTTTATTTAATACATACTTAGTGAAATATTCATATTTTACCAAGATCAGGGCTGTGGTTTCCTAATCTTGTCGGCAAAGCAGGTAGAGCACGGCATCGTAGAAGGACAAGGATTGATCCAGGAGAACGACAACTAAAGCACGGGATGTGACTGGACATTTCATATAAGTAGAAAGCAATGTGTGTACAGTAAAGAGCCCGTTCCTTGCCGACTGGATTAGGTATTGACAGTCACCAAATCCACAGAATTACTCGTCGGTGCCCCCCCCACCCGCCCCCCACCCCACACCCCCACCCCTTACCTTAATTTTGTTTTCTTTTTGTGATTTTCTAAGCCTATATTTAACTAAAAGGGCGTAAGTAAGTTGTTATAACTTTTGTCCAATCCCGTTGTATTTTGTTTGCAATAAAATTGATTTAAACTTAACGTATCAATAGGAATAAACAATCTACTACATGGCGTCAGTGTAAAAGGTATTGACTGCCATTATCTAAATACATCAACTATTTTGTTCTGACAACTACCGTTTCAAGCACATCTTGAGATGGTCGTCAATCTTGAGAGAAATTTTACTTTTTTGTAAGTTTAATTTGATAAAACTTGTAAGATATGGTTGATGGGGCATTTTTGTGTGTTTTAGCAGAGACCAGACACAATTTACTGTAATGTACGCCCAGTTCTGTTACATGAACATGTTTTCTTTGGACAGATGCATTTAGGGTTTTAATGACTTGAGATGTTTTCGTCTCACCATCTGGTTAAAACGGGGGATTCCCAGCTTAAAAATCACATCAGCCATGTCAACCACTGACGTTTAATTGTATTTATTTATATAGAAACATTCCAGAAAGTTAAGAGGGAAATTATAATTTACCCCGTTGTGACTAAAAGATGATTTTGCTAGCTGCAAGCAACCAGCAAGCATTTTGTTTCTTGCAAATTTATCCCAAAGGCGTGAACTATGTTATAGATAAAATTCTAACTTGACATATTCATTCTAAGTCAGGAATATGGTTCTTGTGTTCATATCGTGTTATTCTGGTATAGAAAGCTTTATCGTGCAGTTTTTGGCTTGTACGTTCCTTTCCCTTGATGAGAAGAAATAACAGATATTCTTTTCAGAAATATGATAGAGTATGAACGATGCGTTTAGGGAATAGATCTATTTTGAAACTTCTGGTGGTATATTGTGTTTTATACTGATACAAATTAAGTTTTACTTGACGACCAATATATAATAAAATTCAAACAATGGCTTATATTAGTGTCGTTTTCATTTGTAATTTTTAAAAATTCCGGATTTCCTTGCACAGCATTTGTGACCTTTCAGGGTAACCTAAATGTTCCTGACGTTATCATCATGACGTGTCAGCAATAATGACGTCATTGAGAATATAGATTCTACATAGATACACAAGCATTTTTTTCTGACGGTATATCGTATCTATAATATTGGGAATCAATTCCGATCAGCTGTCGTGTTACATTTTAAATTAATTAAGATGAATGGCACTGTTTACGTTTATTCACTTTGACAAACAACGCATGACATAAATTTTATATGTCGTTATCAAAATCAATTAATAAATGATAAGACCAGAATTCCATGGAGAGACACTGGCTTTACTTTATTTCTGAAAAAGTTTGTCCGAAATCATTGTGGCAGATTATGAACCCCATCTAAGACTTGTTCGGTCTATTTAAATGATAAATTGTTAACTAAATAACAAATGTCGTTTACTATAATAAACGGCCATATTCAAATTCACATCTTGTGTTCTAGTTGTTAATGACTGTCTTACTAGCTTGCCGTGGTAGAGGTCTAGTATAATAGATAATAAGACCAGAAATCCTTTTCAGAGATCGTTAAAATATTGTTGTGGATATAAGTAGTTCTGACAGAGATTGTTAAAATATTGTTGTGAATATAAGCAGTTCTGTCAGAGATCGTTAAAATATTGTTGTGGATATTAGTAGTTCTGACAGAGATTTTAAAATATTGTTGTGAATATAAGCAGTTCTGTCAGAGATCGTTAAAATATTGTTGTGGATATAAGTAGTTCTGACAGAGATCGTTAAAATATTGTTGTGGATATAAGTAGTTCTGACAGAGATCGTTAAAATATTGTTGTGAATATAAGCAGTTCTGTCAGAGATCGTTAAAATATTGTTGTGAATATTAGAAGTT